CAGTCCTCCTTCATTCTGATCCGGGCTTCGGACCGGCAACGGCAGAGTTTTGTAGTTGATCAAATCTATTGTAAATGTATGTAGATCTCTTTTACGCGATCGTCTCTTCTCTTGCACAGAGCTTTTTCAGCAGATTCTTAGAGCTCTCATTCCACCGAGCCCTAATATATCTGCATTTTTGCAGGAGCTGATGCGGTTAGATCGCGCAGACTGTTTGGATTTTTCAGAACGAGCAATGAGCAGTAAGGAATCGCTTGATTCGATCATTTCATGTTAACCTATATATTTAAATATTCATCTGCATTAATTTCTGTCCACCTATTCTATCCACCAATCTGTCTCCTATTTATGATTTTTCATTCCTTGTCTCATTATTATTCATCTTATCTGTTGTTTGTGCATTTTGTATATATTATGTATGTGTATGCTGAATATATTGTTTTACCGATGAGCGATTGATTGCTGAAATGTTAGTCAGTGACAGTTTAAGTGCTATTTCAGCTAATTTAAGCAGTAAATTCGTTTGATTTGAGAAAGCGTATCTAACGCAAATAATATAATGCCTAAGTTAAATCTAAAGCAGATGGTTTTGCAGATTTAGAAAGGAATTATAACATTAAGATGAAGCTAACCCACTTCTTTAGATAAAAAAGACCTGTAAGACAGGTTGAAACGTCTTACTGGTCAGTCGTCTGATAAGCGTTGTAAATTAGCCGTTTTATGCTGTTTTCAGTGCAAAGCAAGTACTGATTCTTCCGACAAATAAATAATCATGAAGATTTTGACGTATAGCTGTCCATTACATGTGCTGAAATTTTCAGGCACGAAGGTGATGGCATTCATCAACGGTGTTGTATCGTCGAACAGTCATATCATTGAAATGACTGAAATCGTCAAACCGGTGGTGCGTGAGGCGGTGGAAAGCGTGAACAAAGTAAGTCGTATCGAAGAGTCACCTTCGGTCTAACCTTCCGATCTGTTTGCCATTGGTTTAGGTGAAAATGTGGATATTGTTCCTAATTCCGCGCATTGAAGACGGAAACAATTTTGGCGTATCGATTCAGGTAAAGGCCCTTTTTATAAAATGCATTTTGCGTGGGTAGAATATCTCTAGATTTACAATTTTAAGTGCAGCGATCTTAACTGTACATGTCAGAATCTCAAATCGAAAAAGAAAATGTAAAAATTTGCCTGATTTCAGTCTCCCAGAAAAATCAGTTGATGTGTTTTGTCTCAGATGGTACAATATCACATTGCTGTAAAATACAATAGTATTATTTTTGCCATAGTTGTTGCCGATTTAATTTATAAAGCTCTGTTAGTGTTAAATCAACAGTTTTTTTTGTAGAGCTGCTACTGATAACCAATAGGAATCAGGATTTGCCAAAAAACTAATAAACAGTTGTTGTTTCTGTAAAATCTCTAGGCGAAAGCATCTCTAACTAGATCTCCGCCTTACGTTAGATTGTTGAGAAATTCGCAGAGTTGCCTCTTCCGGTTTACACTGCTTTGTAGACACGGAGAATGCCTCTGACCAAATTCAGCGCAGCAGGCAATGTATCTGCAGACGTGGGATCGATGCTCAGTTGTTACTACCCTTCCAGTCACTTTTTTTTATAGCAGCTGCTGCGTCGCAGTAAATGGTATTAAGTCGAGACTGTTTAACTGTAACAGTTGTCTTCACCAAGGGTTCGTTCTGCTCTATCTCGAGTTTGTGTTGTACATGAATAGAATAGTCCAGGATAGCCATGGTGACGAGCGTATGGAGTAGGACGCCACGTTCGTCAGCGCGCTCTGAAAATGTTTGCAGCGAGTGCGGCGTGATCGACATGCGTCTGAGCATATCTAAAACCAAGGACCTAGTTCCCTCTGTTCTCTGCAGATAAATGGTCAAGCAGCTGGGTGAGGTTCAAGTACGTCGGGGTCGTGGTTACTGGTGATGGAAAGTGAGGAACACATCGACCAGCGGACGTGGAGTAGTCAGCTGCGTTCTGCGTGACGCAGCCAGAACCGTTGTGACTAAGGTAGAGCTGAATCTGAAGACTAAGCTCTCCACGTTCAAGTCGACCTTCTTCCCCGTGCTTACTTACGGTCAGGACTGAAAAGCTTCGATCCCTGGTACAAGCGACTGAAATGAGCTTTGTGAAACGAATCGCTCGCGCGTCTCGACATGGTCCGGAATACAGATATCCGAGAGAGTTTTGATATGCAGCCGCCACCTCTCCAAATTGAGAAGCCAGCTGCGAATGCTTGGATGCGTCTTGTGAATGCTTTCATAGTGGAAAGCGAAACAGCTACTACTTACCCAACCGATTGGCCGAAGGCGCCGGGAAGAAGAATATCCTGGATAAGACGGTCTTAATGGATTCTGCTTAAGACTCGGGTTGTTCACTGCCCGAAACTGAAATGCTTCCACGGAGTCGAGAACGTTGGAGACATGTCTGACCCTTCTGCCTCCGCGTCCCGAAAGGATGAGCGGTAATCGAATCTAATTGGTTGACTGACTGATAAGGTATTCATGGCTGATAGCATAGAGGCAGTGATCAGCGCCACAACTTAATGCTCGGAAAATGGAGGGCGCCATGACAATCCCTAATCCTGAAAGGTTAAGGGAAACGGGAAACGGTTACAAGGTTTTTGCCTTTTTGCTTTTATAATGCTGAAGAATTTATAGTGTATAAGCGTGTGGTTTGAAGTTACAAGTTCCATGAAGAGGACGCTTTGAATTCGATCAAATGAAGGGAATAGTCGCATCGATGAGTGGGCGACGCCATTGATTAGAGCGTTTGCGAGTTCCTCCAAGGAATTTGATTGGACGATAAATTGGTTTTAAGAAAGTTCAGACCAGTTGAAATCTCGTTCTTGAAGAGAGGGGGAAATGACAGAAAACGGTGGAAGAACACTTGCATTGATAAAACTTGAGGGGTTACAAGCTAATAAGTCTTGAGAGATATAAAGGCACCAATAAACATAATCAACCTACAAGAGAAAATTCGCTGGTCAGAAGCTGTAGCTTCGCATGACAGTGGCTCATGTTGCCCCCGTCTGAAAAGAGTATGACAACTGATACCTGATGCTCATCGATGGCGGCTATTTCGATAAAATGGCGTTACAAACACTGAACCATCGATATGGACCGAAAAGAAAACAAACAATTAGTTGGATGGATGACATCGAACAGTGGACTCAACTGAAGATCGATGGCATAGCAAGAACCGCACTAGGCCCGAAGCTGTGAAATATGATAATGGGTGATTCCGTGTATACGTTGCTGATACAGTTGAGCAGCTTTGGCGCAGTACCTTACGAAAACGGTATTTCAAATCCTTACCCGGGGTCAAGAATGAAGAAAGGATCGAAATGAAGGATTACAGCAGACATTGAACAGGGGACGCAGCTGGATGGTCGGTGCCACACGAATCGCACAAAATCATAAGTTGTAGCGAAGGGGAAGCAGGATAGGGTATCATGTACCAACAATAAAAAATAGCTTTGTTCTGCACAATGGAATGGATCACACAGCGGATCAGGTTTTGACTTGACTTGCCAGCCCCTACCAGCCAGACCATTTTAAATAAATGTCTACCGTCTGAACGCAGGGTTACGATTGATTCCTTTGTTAGAGAAAGATCGGTTGAATTAATAGCCGGATGTCAGGCATGGAGAACTTTCGAAGCCATGTTACGTCACTGTCTCCTTATTATCAACTGCCACTGATTCGTCTCCATCGTCCAGAACGAGGCGAAACGGTGAAAACTACTGAAGAACGAAATCACTGTGTAGGTCATTATATCGCGAGCCATTGCAGTAGCCAGCACCACCAAACATGAGCCAAATACGTGCGACTCAGACCTGGTTACCATGGGAGGTGTAGCCCGCTGTCTCTACACCCGGTCGCGTGATTTCGGAAGCAGTGCAACTGTCGCCTAACTCATTGTAGCCCGCTCCTTACCAAGGTTACGATCAGTCACCACAAGGCGTCCAGTGTGACTATGCGATGAGACGACCGTCAAAGGCAGAGATTTGTGCCCACAGTGCCTTCGTGGACGAAATAGCTTGCGCGAGCAGACCCGTCGGTTTTTCGAACAGTTCAGGGTTGTGTAGGACGAGGAGCCGATATCAATTATTCAGCGACCAATCGTTTGCACCCCCAATGGAATACCTCAAGAGGCAGCCTGAATCCCACAGTCCAACTCTTAGCTTTGATGAT